TTGTTTTTTTGACAATGAATATTTTACATATTAGGAAATGTTGCGATTAGATATGTCAGCAGGCCTATTGCCTCGCCTATTTCTGCGGTAGGAACACAGAAATGGATGCTTCAGATGCTTTATGGATTTCTCTGTGCCATTTCTTGTCCAGCCCCTCCGGCCTTTATCATTGTAATCTGACTAGATCCACCTCTTAGATGTCGTGCTTACTGTCTTCAACAATGAGCAGCGTTCTTGATAAACCTGTATCCCCTTCCTCCGAAGGCTCATCCCGTGAAACTCATAGCATGAGTTAGGGCGCTCCGAGGGGAATTTGCAGTTGCCATTTGGTCCACAGATAATGAAAGCAAAAAAAAACTTATGGGGAAATGATAATGTACGATATCAAATGCAATGGGCATGGGCATGTATGTTTTCACAAGGTAATGATAGTAACGAGATTTCAATAGTTTACTTTTGTCTGAAATTCCCTGCAAAAAGAGCACAAACATATCACTTCAAACAGTTACAGGACATTTACATCGAAGGTGTGTGGCCCGCAAAATCATCGCAAATTTCGGCGGCTGCGTCGCGTACGTAGCGTACGAGCGCGCTTGAGATTGTGCCGCAGAACAGCCGGTGGTCGGCACACGTCGAAAATCGCGACATTTAATGCAAAGCGCTCAGTTTTCTGCTATCGTCTGAAGCCTCTTGCCTATAGAAATAGTGCCACCAGCATCACCAATGCAAGCGTGCCGTTTGGGCAAGAGGGCGTAGATGAAACGAGAATAATATGCGGTCTGAATGGCTCGCACCGAAGTTTTAGTGCCGAGTTTTAGCGCGCGTAACCCATGGCGTATACCTTTAGCCCTATCCAGATGCGCAACAGCTACTAACTTGCAGTATCTATATTCGCGATAGCAATAAACTCGTCCGAGTCATGCTGTTATCGTAAATCGTAAAAAACGACTCGCACCTATTTTAAATTTCACAACAAAATGTACAACTTAACAATATACATAAATGACCATAAATGACTGTAAGTAGTGACTAATCACTCTCTTCCTGAGTAGAATCGGTCTTCTCCGCAGCAACTCTTCGATATCTTGAGCAAACGCAACCCGCCAGGAATAAAGCAGCCACAACAGCGAAATATGCAGCATACACAACAAACTGAAATGTTGGGAAGCATTTTGAAGCAAGCACATGTCAAAGCATGGATGAAGCGTACTTGTGTCCTAATGCTCAGATTCAGACCATGAGAATCGACAACAGTTAAAGTTAAAGCAGTTTGTAGCACAACTGCTGCGAAAGTATTCCATCCGAACACTAAGCCATAGTTTTCGGTTGTTAATTGGCAAGCAATGTTGCAACTGAAAAATTACTTTGTACAGTGATTCTTTAAGGAACACGATTCTAAACCCTGGAAATAGCCCCTCCTGAAGAACGTTCATTCAAAGGCAGACACTGCAATGGCTGAGAGGCGGGCCTGATTTGATAACTCATTGGTGGAAGAGTCTTCGGACACGGTCCGGCCACAACATCGCGATGACAGGGGTCCGACCCAGGGTCAAGCGCCGCGTTCGCAGTTTTCCAAAAATGTTGCGACATCAAGGGGGGGGGTCGATGCGACTCCCCGCAACCATCACTCTTAGGGCGGACACCCAATACGACGCCCCTCCTCCCAACTCCGACCACCACCCTCACCAATATGGCTGTTTCTGTAGTATCTATAGTATTTGATTCTGAGACCAGTCGAAACATCTGTCTCCGCCCTTATTTGCCTCAAAACTACTCTCGATTGGGGAAGGAGGGGGCGAGGGAGGGAGAGGGGGGTCATTGAGACCCATGAGG